CAGGGATGCAGGGTGAGGCAGGGTTCCCACATACACTGTGTGAGATCCACACAGGATGTCGTACAGCTCTGGAGGGGGTACCAAGAAGCCCAGTAAGACCTCCCATTCAAAGGGCTCTTACCCAGAGTGGGAGAAAGGACCCTTTCTGGAAATCACCTCTCTTCCTGTGCAGGGGGCCGGGTGTTCCCTCATCCTCAAGACTGTGCCCAGCATTTGATGAATGGAGACACTCTGAGTGGGGTCTACACCATCTTCCTCCACGGAGAGCTCAGCCAGAAGCTACAGGTGTACTGCGACATGACCACGGACGGGGGCGGCTGGATTGTAAGTATGCGCCGCTGCTCTCCTGGCATGCAAACACCCTGGAGTTCTAGGCCCCCTGCCTCATGGCCTGTGGGTCCAAACTTCACCACCCTCTGCCCCTCCCTTCACCCACCCACCCCCACATGTCCCTCTTGGGGGCTCCTCACTGTCCTCAGGGCCATTGCTCAGCAGCCCAATCATAGGTTTGGCCGGGCAGAGAGTGGAATGGCAATGTCGAGGCTGCAGTGACCTGGCCCAGGGACGGACCCTCTGTGAGGGCATCGGTGCAGCCCACTATGGGGACAGGAGGGTTCCCGCAGCCTGGCCCCGAAGCAGCCAGCATCAGCTGGGTGGGGGCCGATGGAAATTAGCTTTTGAATGGAGTGAAACGGTGGCTGTGCTCATGGTAGCTACTCTTGGGAGACATTTTCTTTTATGTTTCTGACATAGTTGTGCCTCCTTCTTAAAGCATAATTGGAAATTGAAGCCAAGGCTGATGTATGGGAGGTTAGATGAAATTAGCACTTAAACAGCTCGGAAAGTGAATGATACCCAATAGCTCTGCCTGCGATAGGATGGTGACAGTTGCTAGCAGATTTGAAGCTGGTCCTGTTCTTCTGGTGACAAATGTTTCTGCTGTACTCCATGGCACAGAGAGATGAATTTGAGAGCCAAGCTTATTTCCCCTGACGATGTGGGGGCTCTCTGTGTCCCCGAATCCTTTCTGTATCATAGGGTGCAAATCAGTGTCACTATCACAGCCCAGCCTATTCATCCGGGGACTCCGCACTTGAACAGAAGGGCTCTGAGCATCTCCCACGGAAACGCTATGCAGATAGATACCCAGCTCTGTACGGCAGCGTCCTTTATCTGAGCATCTTTGGCGCTGCAGATATAAAGCTGAGTTACAGCAGTCTTGTTACCGCAGAGCGAGCCCTTCTCAGAGCAATGTCCAAGCTTGGTTTCCACACCAGGGGTTGAATCCAGCAGTGTCCAGGCTGGATTCCCAGACCAGGGGTCGAACCCAGGCCTTGGAGCAAAACTGGGAATCTTAGCCGTGCCGGCTGCCTGAGGATGGGCCTTCCTTGGCACGGTGTGTTCTCGGCGTCTCAAGCAAAGAATTGAACGAGATACAGAGGTAAAGTAGTGACGGAGCAGTTTATTAGAAGAAAAAGTATACTTCAAAGAAATAGAAGTGGGCCCGAGCAGAAAGCAGTGGCTCGAGGGCCCTGACTAACGAGGCCTTGGTGGGTTTTATTTTCTAAGATGGGCTGTTCCTCTCTGGGCGTGGAACCATTTGATTAACACCTGTGATTGACAAGAGGCTATTACCTCATCTTTTTAGACTGCGCATGTTCCTTCCCAGAATTCAGTCTGTTATAATGATATAATGAACTTCCAGGCATATGTAATATATTGTAATTGTGGTATAATGAGGCCCAGGTGAAATGAAGGTCGTCGTGGCCTTTACTGCGCAGGTGTGAGTGACTGGTCTAATCTAGCTGGGTATTTTGTACCCATTTGTTTCCCCGCAGGGGTAGATAATTATTGGGTTGTCGGAAAAGTCATGATGCATTTTTGCAACGAAAAACAGAAAAAATACATCATGACTTTTCCGACAACCCAATACAATGAAAAGGGGAAGTTTGGGGCGGACAGGGGAGGTCTTTTGGTCGGTAGCATTCTGTGGGTTGTGTTGGACATGAAGGAATGCAGAGACCCAATGCCTGCCTCTAACTGCCTGCCTTGTTTTCCCCTTGAGAGGCCTGATCCCCATAAAATCTCTGTGGGAAGCTGAGGGACAGGTCTTTCCTTCTGTATCTGCTTCCTGCTGGGCAGGGGCGTAGAGCTGTCCTTACCTACTGGGGGATTCAGGGAACTCTCGCTCTATCTAATTTTAGATGAGAGGAAGGGGTCTCGAGCTCCACCTGAAGACCGTGTTGGCTTCTTTGGCCGGGACCGGTAATCTTGCTGGGGTACCCTCTGTATCCCCAAGGCCCCTGAATAAGAAAAAAAAAAAGATTTTAATTAATACATTTCTTAAAGAGCAGAGCTCAAAGCTATTGATGCAGGGTGCCTACCTGATGGAAAATCTGTCAGCCTTATGGAGCCTGTGGCCATTCAACCAGTCACTCAGGTGGCATCAATTGTCCAGGAGCTGGGCCCAGAACGGGCTGGAAGGAACAGTAGGCTTCAATGATTATAATTAGCAAGTATGAATCACAAATTTCAGGGCAATTATCTAAAGCAGGGGGTAGGAGATAAAAAAATTTTAAAAACTGGGAAAAAGGAAACTTTAAGGAAAAAGGAAACTTAAAATCAGTATAAGAAAGAACATGTAAAGTTTTGATTCAAGGGCAGGGGGGCTCCTCGTTTGGCGCACATCAGCCTTGCTCACGAGAGCCCCTTTTCCTTGGCATCCCAGTATTTTCCCCCCTGCTCTTCACAGGTGTTCCAGAGGCGGCAGAATGGCCAAACGGACTTTTTCCGAAAATGGACTGAGTACCGAGTTGGCTTCGGGAACCTGGAGGACGAGTTTTGGCTGGGTAACGTCTCCCTTTTGCTTTCCCTGGGAGGGCTGCTCTGGCTTTTTGTCCACCGTTTCCTTCTGCGCCTGCCTGGGATTATCAGCACCCCACCCCACCCCCGCCCATGTTTGCTGAGAAGTTGACAGCTCGTGAATTGCTTTCGGTACCTCTGGCTCTGTTTGGCTGCACTATTGATCTGTTTTTATCTTTTTTGTGGTGTTTTCCTTTTTGCTCTGTCTCTTCCCATCCTCATTAATAGTCTCTTATGCTCATGGGTTTTGATGTGAGGCAACTACAAAGAGAGTGAGCAGCCTGATCCGGGGGGCGGGGGCCGGGGAGCACCCGGCCGGCTGATCGTCTCTCTCGCGAGCCGGGCACCAGCCAGGCAGCTCACAGGTCAGGACAGAAATGAGGTAGTCGCTGTCTGCTAGTTCCTTGGAAGAATTGTTATCACCTGACTTGGCAAGAGGACGAGAAAAATGAGAATGTCATGAGAGGTGACCGGCAATTTCCTAGAGGTCTGACCAAAGCAGGAGGTACAGATTGACAACTGAACTGGTGCGAGAAGGTAAACACACAGTCGGTACAGGGAGATGGCAGGGGTGCCAGGCCCGGAAAGCAGTGCATGTGTTAGGACCTGCCTCTCCCTCTGGGTTAGATTTTCAGAGTGATTTGTGCAGGCAGGCAGGCAAGGGGAAAGGAGAACAATTGTGGTCCGTATTGGTGGTGTCCTCCTGTCTCCCTGTCACGGTCTCACCCAGGCCTCAGCATCTTTCTTCTCGATCCTCGCCTAACAACCCCCTAAATGGCCCCCCGGCCTCCACCCATTCCCACAGGGCCACTACGATGATCTTCCTCACACCCCAAATCGGAGCAGTGGTGAGCCCCACTTGTAAAACTTCTCAGTGACTCTCCATTACGATCAGGTGAGAGCCGAGCGCCTTAGGTCAGGTACCAGGCCTTTCCAATCTACCTCGGCGCCTGCGCCCCACCGCTAAACACCTGGCCTCTCCCCACAGCCCAGCATTCGCAATCACTAGTGTTTCCTCTGCAAGGACGTCTCTCCCAGCCACCTGGCCCCTGTCCTATACACCTTGGTGTCCATCTACATGTAATCAAAGACCCCGAGAACCCATCCTCCTCGTTTCTCTCACCCTTTGCCTGTGGGAGATTTGGTCACCCCCTCTTTTGGGGGGAATCCAAATTGCAGTGTCCATTTTCCTTTCTGTCTTTCTCGGCCATGCTATGTGAATTTCTCTTAGGATTGGGACCACATCATATTCATCTTCTAACCCCACCGCCTATCACAGTGCCTGGGGGATAGTAGGTGCTTCAAGTGTAGATAATCATCAATCAACCAATGGTAAGAATTTACTGAGTACCTGTTAGGTGCCCACAGCTGTGTTTGCTGATGTAACTAATGAAAATATAAGGTAAAAAATATATATAGAAAAATATTGAGAGAGATGCCAATGATTAGGAAAATATTTTTACTGTCTAAGAGTTCGCAAACTCTTAGACAGTTTGGGAGACAAATGCTGTACCCCTGAATCGGTGTGCCCATACCAGACAGGGTTGTGTTTCCCAAACCTTGGCCACTGTGCACTGCTGTTGCACCCTTTGTCATATCTGTGAAATAGCTGAGCTATTATCACATGCAGTAGTAAAAGGAAGCCTCAAAACTAAATGCAGCAAAAAGAAAACAGCATTAGGTTGGTGCAAAAGTAAGTGCGGTTTTTGCCATTATTCGTAATGGCACAAATCGCAATTGTATGTGCACCAACCTAATATTATGAAATGACAGTAAAATGTGGGGGCTCCAAGCCTGTTGTTGCTGGAGCTGCAGGTGGTAACAGGGGAGATGAGAAAGTATTGGGTGTTAAGCTGCAAAGTACCAGAGCTGAACTGAGACTGAGAAAAGTGAGGTCGTGGGGCTGAATGAAGTCGGTGGTGCTGTCTAAAGTCGGGAAGAGATGTCTCTACTTAGTATCATCGGTGACAGGGGACCAGTGAGGGCTCTTCACAGAGGCATGGCCCGGTGACATGTCGTTTGGCAGCGGTACTCAGGTTGGGGTAACACTGTGACCCACGGTTTATGTCCTAAGTTGGGTTCTCTAGGAGCAGAGGCTGAGACAGAGATTCTTGTCCAAGCAATTTATCTGGGGGCGCTCTCAGGAGAAGGGGAAGGGGGACACAGGATAAAGCGGGAAAAGTGCAAAGCTGTGGTCTTTGGGGGACATGCGCTTCCCCTGGGACATGAATTGCTCCTCAGAGTTGGGACAACAGGGCAGGGCTTTTGTACGCCCTGCTTCAGGAGGTCTGCCCCAAGGCGGGGAATGGAGAAGGCAGCGGCCAGGGTGGAGTGAGTCCTGTTTGCTCAAGGGCAATTATCCAAGGAGGAGGCAGCTGTGAGTTGTTAGCAGCTGGAGGCTGAGAGGAGGGCGGTGTAAGGAAAGGCACACACAGCCCCGCTGCAGGAGATGTTAGGGTGTCGGGGTAGCCTGGGCCGCAGCCTGAATGCCTCTGATCAGTCTTCTATTTTACTTCCTTTTCTTCACGCCACAGAGGTCACGCCCATGTGATACCTCCTGTCACTTTCACCCAATGCCATGGTTTGGAGTGGGAGGTGGCGGGGACAGGGCCAGGAATCCTGAGGCTCAGGGCTGGTCATCAGTCCCTGGGTCAAGATGAGATGTCCAGGACCCTTAAGCCAGCCTGTGGTGGGAACTGCTCAGCAGACCTGGCCACTTGCATGTGGAAATTCAGAGTCTGGGAGGTTCTGTCTGCTAACAGCCTGGGAAGCGCTGAGGGCCACAGCTCCCCCGACACCCCTCTTCTTCCCCCATCATATCTGTTCTGAGGCCACAGGCCCATTTCCCAGCCCGCTTCCAAAGCCGCTGGGCCAGTCTCCCTGCATCCTCCGCTCTTCTCCGCAGGGCTGGACAACATACACAGGCTCACGTCCCAGGGCCGCTATGAGCTGCGTGTGGACATGCGGGACGGCCAGGAGGCCGTGTTCGCGCACTACGACAAGTTCTCCGTGGGGGACGGCAGGAGCCTGTACAAACTCCACACAGGAGCCTACAATGGCACTGCAGGTACCTCGGCCCCGAGCCCCCCGGGGGAGCAGCAGCTCCCACTCAGCTCATGAATTCCCGGCTGGCCCATGGGGAGGGCAGAGGGCTGTGAATCGCTGTCTCTGTGCCAGGCTGTCCCTGACCACTCAGGTGACCTGAAATCAATTTCCCAGGACTTCACTCTCCTCAGCTGGAAAATCGTAATAATGATGCCTGCCGCACTTCACAGAGCAGTCAGAAAAAAATGTGATCAGTGCAGTGCACGTGCTTTTAAAGTTAAAAAAAAAGTGCAGTGGGAGGGCAAAGGATTATTTTTCTTGTCTCAATTAATCAATATGGGCTCTTATCCAGAGAGAGCATAATCATCTACTGTCTGGGGAGACATCGCCCCTGTAATGAATGACATCTAGAGAAGCTGTTTTGGAACTAATGAAAATAAACCAGGCCCCTCCTGAGTCTGCGGTCCCCCACCCACCACCATTTTATCAGAGGTCATCGTAACACCCCATCAAGGAGCAGACAGCGGCCCTTCATTTCTTTCCACTCCTCCACGAGAACCACGTACATGGTCACGTTTTCTATATAGATTTTTGTGACATTTCCACTAAGCAGAACAACCATGTCTGGAAGCCCTGCTGCATTAATAGATTTGTCGGAACATAACACTGAGTCTGCATCCGAGGCTTTGCCCATCTGCTTCCTGGGTTCTATTACAGCACGTTTCATAAAACCTGTTTTGCCACACATTCCACTGTTTGGTACATGGAGTTATGGGTCCTTACATTAACTCCAATTTTAGGGCTGAATGCTAGTGTATAATTTTAGCAACATTGTTATGCCTCTTGGAGTTCAGATGACCATCAAGGCGTTGCCCTTCCAATTTCTGCATCTGTCCGGCTGTGAATCTTTTCAGCCAGGTTAGTATGCTTTCCTTTGTCACGCTTCATATTTCAGAGCATCCCCAGTGGCCCTGAGACCTGCCTAAAGTGCCCAACCAAAGGTCCAATTTACCGCACTTTGGGCATAAAATAGTCATTGAAATGGAGTGTATTTAGTAAAATATCAGACTAAATCATTTCAAAACAACCAGGCTGCACGGGAGCGAGCCAGGTGGTCTTCCATCACCAGGGTCATCCTGGCGTCTCTGGAGACAGAAGGAATCATGAATGTGCGTGTCCCCGTGCTCGCCTGGAGGAAACAGACACGGGGGGTGGGGCAGAGCTGAGTGGACAGAGTTCTGAGCAGACGGACAGGGGGATGAGCAGCACGGAGGTCACTGACCCACCCGGGTGAGGTGAAGTAAGAGTTCAATACAGTCAGGCCGATGAACCAGGTGAAAATGGGAGAGGTAAGTGGCAGGACCCTTACGTGGAGGCCAGATTTGTTGGTGGCCAAATGTCCAGAAAGTCCTGACAAAAGAGTGACCCATTGAACAGCATCACGAAGGTGTCTCTTTTCCTAGGGGACTCCCTCAGCTATCATCAGGGACGCCCTTTCTCCACCGAGGACAGAGACAATGACATTGCCGTTACCAACTGTGCCCTGTCATACAAGGGAGCCTGGTGGTATAAGAACTGCCACCGGACCAACCTCAACGGGAAGTACGGGGAGTCCAGGCACAGTCAGGTAGGCGAAGCTCGGCCGCTGCTTGGAACCACGGCCCCACCCTTCTGTTTTAAATGCACATGTGGGTCTTACATTCCCTTTTCAAAAGAAATACTCAGAGTCTTAAAGGACTATCATGATGAGGAAAGGAGTGCAGACACTGGGATAAGGTCAGGACAGAGTAGAAGGCAGAGGAAGAAGAGAAAGTGTCTGGACTCAGGAGATAGAACTCACCCAGAGAAGCCCTTGACAACCAGTCAAGTTCCATGTCATTTCCTCATCTAGAAGATTCCATGACCAGCTTATCAATTCCAGGGACAGCGTCACAGGCTCAGCTTCATTCTAAGCAGTGTCCCAGGAAGGGCAGGGTCAGAAATACCAGTGTAAACTGTACTGTCTCTCCCCATTAGAGAGGCTGGATGACAGGGTGGGTGACCAGCTGGATCAACGGGGACCTTCCCCGTGTTCACACTGAAAGTCCAGCAGCCAGGGAAACCCCTTAGTCCTGCACAAACCAAGATGGTTGGTCACCGTAGGTGGCAACCCCGATTCCACCAGGAAGGGGCCAACACAGTCTCTTCAAAATGCTTCTATCCTGTTGGCATTTTGAAATTCAACTCTAGTTACTGGTGCATACAAATCCGAAAGGCCGAAAACAAAGCTGACAAAACGGAGTGCCCTGGAACACGTTCCAGATAAAGACCTAGGCCATAGGCCGTGTTTAAAAAGAAAAGCTGGAACGAGACTGCGCCTTGGACCTCGGCAACTCAGCCACACAGCCTGGTGTTCATGGAAAAGGGCGAACTCCACATCGGGGGGGACCTGACTGACTGACACGCTTCTCTTTCTCCCTCCCAGGGGATCAACTGGTACCACTGGAAGGGCCACGAGTTCTCCATCCCCTTCGTGGAGATGAAGATGCGCCCCTACAGCCCCCGTCTCACGGCGGCGAGGAAACGGCGGTCCTTGCGTTTCTGAGCAGCGGGCGGCCGCGAGCCAACTGACCTTTCCTGTCATTCGTTTGTATTTTATAATCTGAAGCGAGGGGTGGGGGGTAATAGTCATGTGCTTCTCAACATAGTCTGAGTGTCAGAAGGAAGCAGGAAGCAGCAGGCATCCGTTGAGAACCAGCCGCGCGTGGTTCCTGCTGCCCCCAGGCCTGACCCCCACTCCATTCTTCCTCCCACCCAGCCGCCCTTAACCTTCCCCTCTTCTCCCACCAAAGGAGGAAAAGTGAGACGTTTTCGTAAAAGACCAATTCAAAGGCAAGCCCTGGAGTCAGGTTGCCATGGTGACAGGCACGTGCCTTCTTTCCGTCCGAGCCGCGCTTCACTTCCAGCTATCTGTGCTCTGGTCACGGCCTTCCAGTGGCCGAGTCCTCACACCAGCCCATGGAAGAAGCCTCTGCAAGAGAGCTTTGCGAACCCCTCCCCTTACGAGGAAACAGTACCCTCACCCCATCCCAGCAACCCAAGTCCTCTTTCATGGGCCAAAGATTCTCACCTCACAACACTCTGACTCTACCAGCCAAGTGGCCTCTGGTACTTTTCAAGAGTCGTAGGCTCCCCTCCAGCCCGTCAGTCCATCCTACCCTCAGAGCCCCACAAACCCAACCAGCGTTTTGGATAATAATTCCCAAGGCATTCGTTGTCCGTGACTGTGTCCCCGTGGGTCATAAGTCACTGTCCCCACCCTCAGTTCAGACATACAGGAACCTTCTTTGGGGCTGGGATGGGGAGATGGTTGTCACTTTGGGGGTCAGGCATTGAGGGAGGACAGAAGTAGAATTCAGGGCACCTGCCATTGCGATTCCAGATCCCATGGGGAACACTGGTCTTAGGTAGCTCCATTTTCTCTCTTTCTCATCCTATTTGTCATGAATTTTTGTTTCTCGATTGCAAACTGAAGGCCTCACTCCTATCTCCAGCCAGGCTGTCCTTTGTGTGGGCAGCTAACAAGAGTCAGAAGGGGTTACATGACCAGCCAGCCATTCCCCTGATAGTCTCTGGGAAGAGGTGGCATTTGGGGGTTTTGGTTTCTGTTTTTTCCTCTTTTTTGGTCCTGTGGGAAACAGGAACGACCTCCTTGATGAGGTGAGGTCATCAGCAGCCTTTCTCCATCTCCTTTTATTATCCTGCCTTTGAAAGGAAAAATGAAAAGCGCCAGGGGAAATTACATCCAGAAATCCAAAGGTGAATAGGTGAGGGCTGTGGGCCTACCTCCCGTTTTACGAGATGTGCTCTCTTCACGAGCATGATTTTACTTTTAAGTCCAAGAGAGCTGGAGGCTCGAGAAGCCATGTCCTTTCCACTTCTCCAAATCAAATGTTGGCTGCAACCATCCCTACAGCATCTGCCGAAATCCATGTCCAGTTTCCCCAGCTGCCCTCTCCCTTTCCTCAAGGTCTCACTCAGTTCCACCTTCTGTAATGCCCACATTTACTCAAACAAACAGGAATCTTGGTGCCTTTCCCAACCAGTTACGGGATGAGCCTGAGAGTTAGCAATTTTCTAAGGGAAACATCTACAATTTAACCAGGAAAGGGCAGTCCCTCAGGCTGATGATGACACCTGTGGTGATATGGGATGACATCAGCGACCACTCGCTGTAGGCACTCTCCCATTAGCAGGCCTCCAAGGTCTCGCTCACAGCTGTGGTGTGGGTGTGACTGACATACCTGGTGCTGGGAAACAGGTGATATTTTCATTTCTCAGTTCACCGTGGGCGTCAAAACAACGAGGAGAAGGGGGGGAGAAACAATCCTTTCGAGAAACCTGTAAATTAAACAAGATTGAACTAGAGTGGGACGCCAAGGACCATCAATGAAGCTCACTGAATGGGGGGCTAGGGGCTAAGGTAGAGGCCCACCTCCGCCATTTTGCTTGCTCTACGACATCAGGGAGCTTGCTTCACCTCTCGGGGCCTCCGTTTTTTTTTCACCTGTTGCATGGAAGATTAGCCTAGAATGGCTTCTAACTTTCCTTTCCACTTGGGCAGTCAGTACTGCTCGTCCCTGAGTAGAAACTGGCATGGGTGAGAGAGCACAATTAAGTAATGAAAATTCACCAGAGCCCTGTTTTATTTAGGCAGGGAGGGAGGGAGATTCAGAAGTCATAACACACACACACAAGAAAACACTGCAGAAAATATTATGCCAAGAGGCTGAACTCATTTTGTCCCTGAAAGCAGAGCCCAGGGACCTGGGTGGTGCCAATACAGACCACCTCATCAAGGGAACTGAAATGGAAAAGGATTATAGGTCCTCGTGTCGTTGTTCAGGGGAAACCTGAATCTGCCTCTCATTGGAACCATCTTACCCTGTGGAACACTTCTATAAATAGCCTCAGCAGCATTGCTGAGATTCATTTTAAAGAATTTTAAAGCAAGAAAGGGACTTCAAAGATTAACTCACCCAATCTTCTGTAAAAGGATTTATAGATTCCTTTTATACAGTGGAGTGCTTTTCTCAAGAGTTTTCACCATTTTTAAGAGGCACTGTGCCCATTCTCTCCCCAAGGCCCGTGGTCAACCTACTCAAAGCTTTTTACCTTTACTCACTGATTCCTACTTAGCCTGTTCCTCCAAGCACCTGTGCTCTTGCCAAGGGTGGACCCATTAAGCAGCAGTCACCAAGCAATCACCCTAAGCACCAAAGTGACCCTCACAGGACACAAAAGGAATTAGACATGGACCCTGCCTGGGAGCAGTTTAACTGCAAACACATCAGGATATGCACTTAAAAACACAAACCAAAACCTACCAATGCACAGACTCACTGCCTAACCCAAGATCCAGTTTTCTCCTCTTGCACTTCCTGGTCAGAGAAAGGTAGTTTTCAACACAGCAACCTCACATTCTGCAGGGTGATTTCTGGAAGGGAAAGGAGGTTCGTACAAAAGGGGGTTGGGAGGGCAGGGGGATGTGAAAGACCAATCTGTGGAAAACTGCTGGCCTCTAGATCAGATTTAACTGGCAAAGGGAGACTTGCTAAGTGTCACCACAAGGGGGCGGTCACAACCCTCACCCCATTCCTGTAACCCTGTGTGAATTACCTTGGGGGTGAACTCACACCAAACCAGACCCAGGACCCTGTGCGAATCTGCTGCCAACAGATTTGCACAGGAGATTGACTTGTAAAAACTTCCACAAACAGTTTAATCCGCCCTACCCTTCAACATCCACTCCCCACTCCACTCATCAAGTGGCAAGACACCTCACACCTGCTCCCTGCCACCTGAAAACCAACCAGCTCCCTGCACACTGAAAACGATGCTTTCAAAGACAGACCTGAAGAACCAAGGCTGCCAGTGAGGTCAGTGCCAAACCAAACAATCCTCACCGCGTGTGGACTGTTCACATCCAGTCCCAGAACAGAGCTGTAGATTAAGGCACAAAAGGTCATTATGGGATCTTTTCAAAGAGCTCTTTTAAAAGCATCAGTGGAGGAAAAGTTTATGAGTTCCTCTTTGTCCTCTCTCTGGAGAAAAAATAACACAGTACCTGTGAGACCGGTGGATGCACCCAGTAAAGGGGTTGAAATAGAGTAGCTGGTGGCCTGGATTTGCAAATGCTCCTGGGGCTTGAAAATACTTCATTTTTTCTTTTAACCTCCACCCAGAATTTCAGAAAAGTTTGAGCCACTGACTCAGGAGATGTGCTTTTCTATGGCTTCTTGCTCATCGGCAGAGTCCTATTCAATCTAATTCTTTACTCGCATTTCTTTCCCTCCAAAGGGGAACTCTGCATCTCACTGTCACGCTTAAAATTTTGAAAAGGAACCTCTGAGTTCAGTCTCCGTAATCCCACAGAAGCTGGGAAAGTCTGTGATCACGTGCCTCAGATTTGGCAAGGCTGCTGGAAGGGCCTTGGTCCTCGGAGGCCTGCAGCCCTAACCTGGGCCTGGAAGTCGCTTCTTGCACAAAGCCCCAGATACCGGGCTCTGCTGGCCTCCCTGGGTGGCCATTTTCCTCCAGGTAACAGTGACAGGGCGGTTCTCCGCTCTGAGCAAAGGTGAGTCACAGACAGTGCTGGCTCCTGGACTCTGCCTGCACCTTAGGGTCCCCTGGCCATGTTGCAAAAGATCTTTGACTAACTGCTTCCTTAAACCTTTGTTTCTTCCATAACCCAACCCCACACAGATGTGAGGAGGTTTTCCTCAAGTCTGGTACCACCAGGCCTAATGGCAACTCACAGAGCAAACCAAAACCTCTAAAAAGCAAGTAGGGAAAGAACTCGGGTCTACCTGAAGAGGGTGTGTTGGTGTAGACTAGGGTCCCATTTGAAAACAGTGGCTCCGGTTCATCCTAATTGTATCCGCACTAGATTTGCTTCTCCCCATTCTGTGCTCTTCAAGTCTTGAGAAAGAGCTGGGAAGAAGAGAAAATAAAACATTAAATATCAAGGAACTTAAAAAACAAGCTGATGGATCATTAGAGACTAAAGCAAGCTTTCCACAAAATGGCCTGCAGTAGAAACACAGAGCCCAGGTGTGAGGGGCCCTGGTAAAGACCTTGAACTCGGGCCCCCAGCCTCCCACCAGAGGCCTGTCGGTTCACAGGCTGCCTCTGAGGAGAAAGGCAAGCCCCGGAGGCCTGTCACAGCACAGACCCAGAACCAGAAGGACTCGCCTGGCTTGCTTAGCCAACCCTGCCTGGACCTCACTTTTTCTTCCCAGGCCCAAGCCTGATGTGTCACCTCCAGCCTTTCTGATTAATTTTTCAAGGTCACCCCTCGCCTGAAGCATGACTTCATTGTCCCAATGTCCTTGGCAAACCTCACAGCCTTTGGACAGTGTTGTGTTTCCTGCAAACCGGAAATCTTAGCTCACTCCCAAGCTTAACAAGGCTATTGCAGCACATCCAAATAACACAGCTCTTGTTTCTCCAAAAGACTCGGCCCCCTCTGCTAATAAAACAGCTCCTCGTTGTGGTCGGCTGTGAGGCTGGGCTGATGCAAAATTTCCAGTTCAGAAACATTTAACCCTTTCAGTCTCACCAGGTCTGCTCTCCCAGATACTGGCATTGGCTCACTGGCCCCATGGGCTCTTGGGGGACGGTGCAAACATCCCAGGAGGCCTGGGACATCTAAGCCACAGAGCAGGTTTGGGCCCAGACAAATGCATGGATGAGAACTTTTTTCTCCCTGTCACTGGTGTAGCAGCCCCCAGGGAGACCCTGTGTTGCTTTTTAACATCCTGTCATTGAATGCTAACATGCTCAGTGCTGCCTCCAAGCGGCAAACAATGGAAATTGCCCTTCAGAGCTGGAGGGAACTCCAGAGAGACCATCAGACCCAAAGCTCACTTCATCCTCCAGGAAACCAAGGCCCAGAAAGGTTAGGCAACTTGCCCAGGTTCACACAGCTAATGAGTAACAGAGCTGAGATCAGATCTGGCATGGGCTTTTTAATGTTCCTTTCCCCCAATGAAATGGTATTTATGGCACACCTACTGTTTTCCAGATAACTGGGCTAGGAGCTCGACATATTACTTTGTTAAATCCTCACCAGAACCCTGACTCAAGTTTAACCATTTTACAAAGGAGACAGTGGAGGCACAGAAATGTTAAGAAACATGCCTAGAGTCACACAGCATTAAGTAGAGCTACAATCAGATGCACTTTGTCTAATTCTAAAGCCCTTGCTTTGCTACTTTATGAGGCTACAGCCTTTTATATTTATTTAGCCAAGTGGCCACCATCTTGGATTTGTTGATGTTTTTCACAAAGGGGCATCTGATATCACTTCCTCTCTCCTCTCCATCTTTCAAGAAATGGGGGTCCTTGCATTGTTTTTGCTCCACACCTCAGAAGATCTTTAACCTCACTTGGCAGCTCTTTTACTTTCTTGGTTTTTTGTTTGTTTGTTTTTTGTGGGAGGTGATGGAGAGGGTCACGACAGGTTGGGAGGGGAAGGTAAAGAACACAACACAAACCCTATTTTCCTCACTTCAATCCTTCAAGAATATGCAGCCTCGTTCTCACCCAACCTTAGAAGGGTGGGACATCCCAGTCATTCATCCCAAACGGGGGCAGACAATGTAGCCAGGATTGGTAAGGGGGGAGCCACAGAGTAAACATGGTGGCACCTGTTCCTAGCGTATCAGTTTTACACCTGGATTTGAGAGGAAAATGGTTCCATTACTAATATAGTCAAACCAGTGCAGGTGATACCAAATGCAGAAATCCCATGAATTTTTAGGCTAAAACCTGTATGTTACACATTAATTTGGGCTCCCTCCTTCCAGACTCTCCGGGGTACAAAGCTGTCTTTCTTCATGACCCCCTGAAGGAGCACATCAGTAGAACATTTTGAGGGCTGAGGCTAGAAGAAGGCAGGAGACGAATTCATTTATTCTTTGGTTTACTTTTTCCCTCTTCCTACCTGTCCCCACCTCCTCAGTGGGCTGAGGGCTCAAAGGACAGTGGGCTATAATCTCAGCTCTCTTTGCCACTTTGGGGAGTTGAGAAGGAAATCAGTTCTTGGTAACTCATATTTTAAGCAGCCAGGCCAAAACTCCAGAAATGAACCCCTTTCTCTTCATTGAACAACATTTCTATATATAGGAATAGACAGATCTCCTCAAGAGAGGGCTCTGCATTTTAGGGTCCTCTTCCACATGGGGGCTGCTTGGGCAGCAGCGACACGTGTGTGTTAGGCACACGAGACACCATGGTTTCTGTCAGCCAAGAAAGTGCTCCCCTATCTTCCCCACCCCGCACCCTCTCTGAGGCCTAGACTCGCACCATAGTCCCACAGGCTCAAGGTTCAGAATCTACAAGTTACTGTTAACACACAGACGCCTCCTTCCTATCACCCACCCACCCAATTATTCCAAACTCAAATAAGCCCCAGGCCCCGAGGAACTCCAGGCGACCTAAGCAAGACGCTGTGGCTTGGAGGAAGCCGTTCCCTGGGGCCCGGGCCGCTGAAACCCACCCTGTGGTCTCTAGATGGTTGCCCCGAGAAATCCCCAACACCAAGCCCTCCAGTCCCTCCGAGCTTGCGTTTGCCATTCTAACCTTTAACAGCCTTTTCAGGTGAAAATAACAAAGACCAATTGACTGACTTTGTAGCTACAATGTGCTTGGGAAAGCATTTCCTCAAAAGGAAGGCTGGAAGAAGAAAAACAGGAAGAAAATGGAGTACACACTCCTCGGGCGACGTACACCTTAAAGAACTAAAATGAAAACGAAAGCCTGCAGAGGAAGGGAGCGGACAGCCCACCGTCCCCGTCCTTTCACGGCACTGTAGCTCAAAGACTGGGAAACTCCGCTCGTTAACCATCGTTAACCAGTGTTGTTAGTCCTGATTGCTTTTAGCCTCTGTATAGTTCCTTTTTTAAACACATTTTCTATACGTTAATAAAAGATCCTGAAAGAATGAGGTGCATCTTCCGAGCCCTGTGGGGAATTGGGAGAACGCCCCTGGCCTGCTTCCTGCTTTGCTCACTGTTTCCCCGGCACTTCGGCCAGACTGTCTTCTCTGCAACCCCCTTTCGGGGAGGCTCTGCTCATCCCTGAAGTCCTGCTCCTCCATCCCAGTCCCTTGCCGCCCTTGCACCTGTTCTCGCGTCCTAGCCTCACGATCTCCTCCTCTTCCTCCCCCATCTCCCACCGAAGTGGTCTTGACCTGCCTCACCGCCTGGGAGCGCCCAGTGGTAGCCCGATCTCCAAGGCTCTAGTGCCACCTATGGGCCTGGCGGAGACTATGCAACAGGCCCGACCTGCTGAGCCGGCCTGCCCTGCCCAGTCAATCCCCAGCTCCTGCGACCACCTGCCGCTCAGACTTGGGCACCTGGGGAAACATTTCCCCTTTCTCTGCCTTGAAAATGGGCCCAGAGCACATTATAAGGTCAACGCTAACCTCCAGGTAGCATGAGGTGAGACCCAGCCAGGTTACAGCCCCAAGAGGAGGGTCATGAGGTAGACTTGCACCCAGTTCAGGGCCACAGCGCCAGGAAAGCAGACAACTGTAACAGAGGGGGTGCCGAAGGTGCCAGAAACACAGACGAGCTTTCTCCCCCGGAGTGGCTAAGGGTGTGCAGGGAGACTGCCTGGGGAAGGTCCACCTGGCTTGGGTCTCATGACAAGGGGAATAATCCAGCGGGGACCGTGAGCGGGGAACAGCGTGAATCAGAGTCCGGAGGACAGAAACAGCATAACCTGAAGGGGCGGGGCCAGGAGAGATGAAGGAGGCGGTTGCCTGGCTCCCTGGGGCTGTGAGGGCAGCCAGGACAGACTGAGCACTGTGAGTCCCCAAGGCCAAGAGGGAGGGGCCTTTCTCCATGTCCCCTTGTCAAAACGGAAACGAAGTATTTTTAAAAGGATCAGAATCCCAAACTTGGAATTAATTTTTTTTTTAAAGGTCCATTCCTCCCAGTCTTTTCTAAGTACCAGCAAGCCCTTCTCAGCCCTGGCGCCATGTGAGAAACAGGGACAGAACCCCAGTGCCCAGCCAGGTGACAATCTCCCACGGAAGGCGTCCTACGGGAACAGGGGCAGAGAGCTTTCCTTAGCCCTTTCCTTGGGCCTTGTTTCCTATTTCTTCATCATTTCCTAAAAACAGATTTCTGGACTCTCAGATGAGAGAGGCCCTTTGAAAGCGGCCACATTTCCAGGTCCTATTTTAAACAGGCCACCCTGGACACCCACACCTCAGGATTATGTTTCATGTAGGAGTGACTGTTGTCATGTGCACATAAAACCCGTCACCTGAACAAACCCAAATCTCGAATCTCCCTCTGCATGTTATATGGGGAAAGGAAACTCAAGAGAGGGAGGGGGACTTCAAGGGATTTCAGTAATTATTCAGTACTTATTCCTGAGGTGACTGAATGCTAACGTTACGTTCTAACTTAAATGAGTATAATTCACCCATTGCTTAAGGCCTCCGGGTGCGTTTACAAGCATCTGAACACAGATTTAATTATTGCTGTGTTGTGGGAACTAACGACTGCCACGGGTAAAATTAAAAGTGGATTATTAAGCAAGAGAAATGTTAGCAGCATTAGTAATCAGGGCAATTACCAAAAACCCGACCTAAACACAGTAGCGTCATCTCTCCTGTAATGACCCAGTGTCCCTGAGGACATGTGCCTCCGCCGCAGCCAGCAGTGATGTCATCACGCAATACGGGTCCTCGGAGCCCGTATCTCTCCTCTCGTGTGATATGTGCAATATACCCCCATGGCCCAGGCTTTCAGGGAATTATAAAAAGTGCACTGGATGCACAGACCCTTGCACGCCCGTGTCTCTCTGTACGTCTTCCCTTGTCTCACCATCCCCTTCAATGAGCACCTACTACGGACCGGACCCAGTGCTGTCCCTGGATGTGCAGGGATGAAAGGCTTGGGCCCCCTTGAGGAGATGTCGTCTCTTTTCGTTCCCATCCACTTGTACCAAACTCCCTACTCCCTAATCCAGATATTACACACATGTGAGTAAAGCCCCTTGTGTCAAAGGTTTTAAAACAGACGAGTAAAATTTTTAAACTTGGGGCGGCTGGTTAGTTCAGGTGGTTAGAGCGCAGGCTCATAACACCAAGGTTGCCTGTTGGATTCCCACATGGGCCGCAGAGCTGCAGTCCTCCACAACTAGATTGAAACAACTAGT